GAGTGGTGCGGCAGGACAGAGCAGAGCGTCTTAAGTGATTTCTAACTGGGGGGCCGTACAAGTCAGCAGCCAGATAAAATACATTATGGTAATGTGCGCACAGTAACAAGTTGTATGGCCGCTGCCACGCCCACACATTAAGGAAACACACAAAAACACACACACAAAGAGCAGTAGAGCAGTTTACAAGCCACATGGCCTAATCCTTTTGCCCCCTTTACCACAGTATGCCAATGACCAGCAAAATACATTGAACTCGCAGTCAGGGTAAGATTTAGGATTTGAATTTGGATTGGGATTGGGGTTACCAAACTGGTGTCCGGATCTGGTTCTGCTTCATTGGCGCTATAAAATGCCAACGGGTTGCCAAAGCCGACGAAAAGTGCCCGAAATCACAAAGCGGCACGTGTTGCTATCCGACTTTGTGTCTCGAGCATTCTCACCCCCGCCCCTTCATAGTCAAGGCAACCAGTCAAAGGCAAAAAAAAAAGGGTTCACACCCACAATCCCGCCCACCTTGCTCTGTCGTCTAAATTATTGGTAATTTGATGTTTTATTACATTTTTTTAAAATTTAATGCGTGTCCCTTTTTGTATGAGCTGCTTTAAAATTTATGAATTTGCGTCAGTTATAGGGAGAGGGTTGGACTTTTGACGGCCACGTTATTGCTGTGGTTCATAATTGTCACACAATTTTTGAGGCAACTGACTTTTACGATTATGCGACCATATTAAAGTTGCAGTTAGGGTCAGGCAAATGGTTACTGCGGGGAAATCATGCTTAAATTTTTGACCGCAATTTGAATATACGAAGAAATATCAAAGGGCACTGAAGCTTTAATAATCTAAGTCCTGTTAAAGGTTAAGTGGTAATAATGGTACATTTATATTTTTGCATTATCTTAGCACCTATATGATATAGAAACAGGATCTTACAAGAAGCATCAAAAGAAGAGCAAATTATCAAGACTTCGAAATTTAAGTAAATACGCCGAAAACCTAAAAACATATAGTGATGTTTTCTGTTTATAATATAAAACTGGCTTAAGGTTTTTAAAAATATATGTTTACAATAAGTTAGAAGCAAGAGAATTTATGCATTACTTACCGCGAGCAAAACTGCCCGAATTTGTTTAGTCCTCCAATAAATTTGCGCTGGCATTTTTATCTGTATTTTCTGGTAATCATGGTTTCCATGCTGCAATAGAGAATAGAAAGTACTTAAATCAAATATCAAATAAACCTATTAAATAGTTGGTCTAAATACTAATTGAAACAATATGCAGCTGGCACCTAAAGTTTGAGACAAAGAAACCATTAGACTTAGTGTAAATAAACACATAATCAACAAATACAAGCAAACAAATACACACACACACACACACACACACGCACGTACACAAACTTAATAAGAACTTAAATCAATAGAACTTGGCATTTGTTTAAGGAATTGGCCTTTTGCATAATTAAGCTAAATATTGTTAAATCTTTGCGTATGCGACGATTAATGAAGGCAACAACAAAAGCACCAGCTTAGCGACTGACAAGATATATGACCAGGGGGAACAGGGGAGTGGGACGGGGGGGAAGGGCGCGGCTAAAATTATGGCAGACTCTTTGGAGCGTCCCCTTTGCGTAAACAAGAGCTACAGTGAGCGTAATAAATACGTTTACGGCTCTGAGACATTTCTCATTCAAATTAAGTACAAACGACATTATTCATTTCTTCGATGGTTCCACCCCCAACATAGGCAACACAAGTAGGCGTGGCATTTGAGAGCAAATTTCACAAATTATCCTGGCTAACAGTATTTGCTGTTATTTTGCTTCTTTAATTTTTGAGAAAGAAATTTAATTTAGATTTATGCACGTTAATTTCGTTTCGGTTGATTTTCCGAGGCAACAGCCTTTCCTGACTGCCTGCTGTTTATTTTGAATTCATTTTATTTTACAGTCAAGTAATTTGTTTGGCCCGCAAGGGGCGGCAAAGTTATTTAATGTACTTTTAAATATACGCACGTAATTGTAGCCTGTAGTCAGAAAGATGACTACAAAGGGTATGACAAATTTTGCAAGGGTTTGAAACCAGAGGATAAATGAAATATGAGCCTATAAAACAGATGCACTTTAGCGTATTCAAAAGTTGATAAATATTGATTTTCATAAATCATTAAACATCGAATATCGAAACTCGCATAATGAAATCGAAGATAAATCGTCTCATGAATATCGAAACTCGCTTGGTTGATTAGAAAATATCGATATTTTTCACTTCGCTTGGCGATATTTATCGTTTAAATATTTATAAACTTAAAACATTTATATTAATTGAAATATTCATTCAACTACTGCCAAAATATATTGTGATATAAACCTTAAGTTTTATACTCTTATATTGTTGTTAATAATATGTTTATGAAAGTATTTATTAATTCGGCTATTGCTGAATAAAATATAGTACAAAAATAATAATTATTGAATAAATTTATTATTGTAGCTGAGTATCTGGCAGGGAAGTACTTCTAGAGTGAATTGCCTCTTAAACATACAGGTAATGCTGTGAAGTAGTTTTAAGAGTTTTAATCAAACAGCAATAATTATTCCACAAACTTTGCACGATAAACTCGCGTTTAACATTAATTTAAAAACTCAAAACATTATTTTACATAAGACAAGTTTTTTTTTCCCCTGCAACAATTCAATTAATCGTCATAATTTATGGAGGTGGCACAGAGATATGTTGCCTTTATCAATCCTATACCATTTGAATGCACACCAGGGAACACTTAAGGTCGCCGAGCACGTACCACAAATTGGAAAATGCTAAAAATACATGACGCAAAGTAGTTTTCACCAACCAAGGGAATATTGGAGAAATGGTTCACATCTATTGCAATGGTATTACAACTTTTTCATGTTAAACTTTGCCATTCATCATGTTATTCTCGAGCACACATTTCTTATGCCCCCTTGCGCTGTAAAAGTTGCATTTAATAGGTGAAACATTTTGTGTGGTAATTATGAGCAGATAGCCGTGAAAAATATCTAACTGAATGGCAATACTTCAGCAAATGTGTCCCCAACCTCAACATTCCCCCAGTTTTCCGTTTGCCAGTATTGGAATGCGCTCTGACAGACGCTGCGTTGTTGCGGTGTTGTCAACACTTGCGACCTCTGGAAGACCCCAAATAAAAAATCAAAAATATAACTTCAAATATTATATGGGAGGTAATAAATAAAACGTTCGTTTGCGCCTCAACCAACGGCTGCAAAAGGTGGGTGTTTCCGTGTTAAAGCTCGCAGGTGATTTTATGTGGTTTTTATGTTTGTGCTGTTGTGTGTGTGTGTGTGTGTGTGTGTGTGTGTGTGTGTGTGTGTGTGTGTGTGTGCTGCGTGTGTGGCTGCTGCTCTTGTTGTTGTTAAATTGGGTAGCTGAAACGTAATGTAATTAGTTGGCACAACCAAATACATAATGAGTACAATTTAAAGACCTATGTGGTTCACCAAGATTTAAGTAAACGGCAAACAATACTTTGAGTATTTTACAGTAAGCACCCAAAAATACTTGTTACTTTGATATGCGCATAAACTGCAACTATAATTGGGACTTTTCTGTAATCCATAAATAATTGCATCGAGGTTTCCGACACGTGTTTCAATTAAATTTCCTTGGCTTCAATCGTATCGCTGTAACGTCTTATGTAATCCAATATTGTACAGATTTTTAAAAAGTCTGATTTAACTTACCCTATGGTTATTTGCATAACGTTACGCAATTAATTAAATAATTAAAAACTGATTTCGTATTCTCTGTTTTCAAACAGCAACGGAAATCAGACAGACAACTCAACCAGACAAAAGGGAGACAAGTAAAGACCGCTTGAAATAAATTAACTATGCTCTTGTTTTTAATACCCTTACAGAGGATGCCAACAGTTACTTGTGAATTGTGTTACGCTTTGTAAAAAGAGAAGAGAAGAAGAAGAAAAGAGAAGAGAATATAAAAGCATATTTATAAATTTCTGTTAATCATTAACACCTTATATTTTATAATAATCGGAAAATATCTCTGAACAACTATGTCTATTTTCCCATCTAATCTTTTTTGATAACAGCCCATTTGTGATCGACAAACATCAACAAATATCTGCAAATTTCTGTAAAATGATAAGACAAAAAACAAATATGTTACATATGTGCTCATAGGTATATCAGACCGAAAATAAAAACTCTATTTAAAGAGAATATTTTGAAGAAACCAGGAATATTTGTTTCTTTGTAGAGATTGGATTATCTATTAAGTAATTTAAGGGTTTCGCCCATCTATATATAATTGTCCATACATATGTGCTTGTGAGTGCATTCAATCTTCGGCATCCCCCGAAAAGCCAACTGTTCTCTTTTATTGTTCCCTTTATTCGTTCACCTCATTCCCTTTGTCATTGTCATTGGTGTTGCGCTTGTTGTTGTCCATTTGGTTGTTGCTGTTGCTGCTTTTGCTGCTGTTGCTGCTGCAAATGTTGCGCATTGAACTTTTAATTAGTAAAATGTGACGTCTGCTTAAGCGAGCAACCCCACGCAGGCTGAAAGGTAAGCCGTGTAAGGTGCCAGGTGTTGGGAGGATGGGTTCGGTTCGACGCAAAGCAAATGACAACAAAATGAAATTCATTTCTATGCACAGATTGTTTGCCTTTGCAGGTGGGCGGGCGTGCCATTGCATAACATTTTGTTTGTTTATGTTTCGGGGCTTTTATGATGTCGACATCGACGACAAGTTCATAAATTATGAACAATTAAAATGTAGCCCGGGAATTGCTTGGGGCAAGGTAAACGCGCTCACAGTTAATTTGGGGTTCCTGCACGCTACTCAGCTAGGTTCATCAAAAATGTTTGCATATGTCACAAACAAGGGGTCCATACAATTGAAACGAGCTACGGTGAAGCCACGTAGCCAGTGGCTTTGCCTAGCTTGTCATGTGTTGTCTACTGCTTCAATTTTTAGTTTACAGTCCCCAGTTGATGTACATAAATAAAAAATAAAAAAACAAATAAAAAATTTTAAGTTACAATCAAACCTATGTATAATCTACCGATAACAGCGCCCCAGCCGCCAAAAGGGGCCATTCCGGGTTTGACGAATTTTGGCCCGAATTTAAACCATTCTCTGCTCACGCAGGCGCCCTTCAAGCCCCATTAGCAAGGAATTCGATCAAATGTCATAAAGTTCTAAGATAAACCAAAAGTCTAAGGCGTTTATATTGGACTCCAGTTCAAAAATCTAATCCAACTGAAGTGAGTAATGCCCCCGTTATAGCCTGAAAATATCGTTTTAACAATTATTGCTTTTACCATTATCCACATCATTCCTACACAGTTTACCATGTGGCAGCCAGACATTCCCAGTTGGTGTTACAATAATTCCATGTCGATGCCTGATCCCAATGCACAATTCATGAATACACTCTATCCACAACAACAGCAGCAGCAAACATTTGTGTCACCAGGATCTTCCATGCAACCAACGTATGCCTATGCGCCCCAAATGCAGCAAGCACAGCCATCCCATTATTATGGCCCGTCGCAGACGCAGCCCGTAAACAATTTCTTAAATTCCTACAACTCGTTCAACTCTACCAACGCGGCCCAGATGCAGCCACAGGCTGTGTCCTTGGCTCGGGCTCAGCAGCAGGCTTGGGTTGATTATCCTCCGCAGAGCTTCAACTATTGGTATCAGAACCAGGATAATTTAAGTATCTTGGCACCGCAGTCCTTTTGTCAGACTAAGCCAATTATAAGTCTGGTGAGAAAACTATAATACTTTGACACAGTGCAGTACCGTACAGTACATTTTAGAAGATATAGACATGTTTTAATCGAGTCTGCCAACCCAACAATATCTGTGGCTCATGAAGCCCGTTAATTAATTAACCGCCTTGCGGTTTAAAACATACAAATATGATTAGAAAAATCTGTTGGTTAAGGCCCAAAATATTTAGGCTATGCGCTTTCAAAGTTCCTTATTTTGATAATATAGCCTTGATTTTGATATTTCTTTAAAATATGTGCATTGACTTTGTCAGAATATTTCTAGCATTTAATGCAATTAATAAGCCCGCAACGCAGATCAATTTAGCCGAGCATTTCATTTTTCTTCGCAATTAATTTAAGACATTTTTATACATTTTATAACAAGGCTTGCAAACGGAATTTACGCAATTAGCAAGCTTCTCAAAAGTATTTTGTTCATATTAGAATCGGATAACATTAAATAAGCTTAAAGCACATTTAATCAATTTCATTTTCAATAGCAGGAGGATGGGTTCGTAGCATGCCACCATCAAAGATCGCCTTCAAGCGCCCTCTCATGCTACCGAGCTGGCAATCGGCAAGGAATTGAATATTTTTCGCACCACAGCAGCGGAAGTCTCAGTCGCATTGATAGCGTCTCCAGTTTTAAAAACCAACAAGGCTTGCGCATTCGGAATTCTGAGCAGGATTTAGTCGAATATCGTCGCATAGCCGCACGCAAGCTGAAATCAATCGAAAAACGTGAAGGAACTGGGCTGCGGGCGCCGCAGGAACTGCAAATTAAGGAGATCGAACAGGGGTGCAGCCTAGTGAATGAGAACTATCAAGTGGAGATCAGCCCGAAAGCGCCGACTACTCAAAATGTGGTTGTCGAAGGGCAGCAGGAAAGCAGAGACAACGGTTTCTTCAAAAAACTTGGACTGTTTAAGGATCCGTTTTTGCGTAGACAACAGAAATCCTGTGATCAGAACTGCGATCCGAGCAGCTCACAGGATACAATTGAACGTCCACGCAAGAAACGAAACTTCTTGAAACGCCTCCTTGGCGGCATGCATTATCCCTCGCATGTCGATTTAACTGTTCTTGTGGAGCAGGATCAGCTCGAGGCGATAGAATTCGGCAAACGGTAGAATAATACACAGACTCAATATCAACTTCCGATATATGTAATATTCTTTTCATAATATAAAAAAAAAATACTCCACTCAATTAAGCTCCACTTATTATTATCACCTTATAGAAATATATGTAGCGACAGTAAGTAGATTGTGATAAATAAACTTTATATCAATTGAAACGCTTTTTGAACCACAACACGAGTAATTTTTAAAGTTCCAACTTTCGAGCGACAACTCTGACTATTTATAAATAATTACCAATTTACAAAGTGGATTGAGGGAAAAGGAGAATTGGAGTACCCGTAGAATAAATATAAGATTTTTATTAAATTTCCAAGCACACCAAAAAAACGTTTAATTGCACATTTTACTTGATATTCCAGTACATTGAAAAATCTCGTGGACGGACAGCGCCCGTTCAAGAGAAGTGTCCGCGTAATAGACAAGAAATGTATATGATTCATAATGGTTAAAGAGAAAATGTCCGCCCATGAGGGCTGTCCGCCTAAGAGGAGTGCCCGCAAGGAGAGCTTTCGCTATGTCTCCAACACTCAAGACACATCTAATGATGAGTTAATTCATTAAAAATAAGTTAAATATGACACGTGTGAGGTCTCGTTGCCAACAAGTTTTTCCACGAACAACTAGATAAATTCCAACTTATGCAGAACTGACACCACGGATTAGCTTTTAACCCACCGCAGCGATCAACCACTGTGACAGCGGTTTCAATTTGTGTCGCAAGCGTTAACGGCGGCTCATTAAACAGCCATCAGCGCTTATTAATTTTGACATTTCGATGGCCATATATCATTATCCGGCTGGCAAGCCATCAGCAGCTCGCCAGCATCCACCGCACAGCATTTGGCAGGCAGACAAATTCGGAAAAAAAATAACCAATAATAATTGCGCAGTTAACACGCTAATCAGCTCGTTACCGACTCTTTGATTTCAAACTGATTGAAGACCATGCCCAGTTTTATGGCACGAAACCAGCACAAAATACTTTTGAATAGTTTTCCCGCAGGTTTTGGGCGAAACAAACACGCTGCGAGGGCGGCACGAACACAATTTAAGTTAAAAAAAATTGGTTTAAGGGCTTTAACTAAATGGTTGTAAAATGTTGTTAGTAAACCTCTTAATCAACTGCTTAACCAAAAGCCAACATATACTATAATATTGTTTATAGAATATACAAATATTGTTCCTTAAATGTCGGTAATTTTAATATAGATATTGCTTTTTTTATTTTCAGACAATTTTATGCTATATTTGTTTCAATACAATAAACATTAAAAGAAGAATTTTAAATTTATAGCTTCAATTTTCATAATTAATGTGAAACTTTCCTAAAAGGAACATTGTTACCCAAATCGTTTAGCTATTTCTTCTCCTTCACATTTGAAACTTATTTGTTTAAATTTACAGAATACGTTTGACAATAAAGTTGCAGTCGAACGAGAGAGCTTGATTTAGTGTGCTAATTAAAGTCATTTGTTCTATTAAACTCATGCTATTACCAAAAAATTGCAATATATTTGAGTTATTTTAAGAGCTTTCATACCTCAAACTATAAATATCTTCCATTCTCTGGGAACTATCGACTGCCATATTAATTTGACGGCTTTTCAAACTGTTTGAACGCCCCTCTCGTTCAATGCGCTGCTTATTAACATTTCAATAAATTGTTGTAAGTATTATTGCAGGGGCGTGGCAGCAGTGTTTGCCTGTCATTAGTAACGGCTCAGAGCAGAAGGTGCAACAACTGCGACGCGGTCAGCGAAAAATGCAACGCTCCATTGGGCCGCACGCACAGGTAGACAGGGAGACCGAGAGCTTGAAAGAGATAGGGATTGAGACATACCCAATCTAGTTATAATACACCCATAATACTTGGTCATAAAAGTGCATACGCCTTTGGTGTTATTCGTTAACGAGTAGCAGTCGAAAATCCCATAAATGAGGTCGACACGAAACTTGTGGCCCTGTTATGACTTCTTCTGGCAAACATGACGTCAAATCGAATTTGCAGTCATCTTTTTTATATGGAGAAAAATACCAGAAACTGTGGGTAACCCATTGCCCATGCCCATGTCTCAACCACGTTGTCTGCTGACAGCCCCAGCGAGCAATAAGTTTCAAATGGAGCCGACGACGACGTCCAAGTTGTCGCTCATGTCAACGCAAAGAGCGATGAGCTCTGCCTGAAGTTGGCAGGGTAAAAGTGATGACGAGGGGGAAGCTGCAGGTAACAGGGGGGCGGCTGCCAAGACTGTGAGGGCAGAGAGATGCTAAGATGCTGAGACGCAGCCCAATGCATTGCCGTCATCATCGTTGCAAAACGTTTCGATTTCATCGAATATCATTGAAGTATTTCGGCATGCACTGAGAGAAATCATTGGAGTGTGCTAAAAATTGTGATGCTACAATGCATTTGAGGAATCTATGAATATTAAATGCTTGGAATATCTATTCAAATAAGTCAAATATAAATATGAAAAATATGCTTTGGAATTTACATATCATAGAATTACATAATCAAATTTATGTCTGACAAATTTTGACTTTAGGGCTATAAATAAATGATCTAATATACATTTTGTTCATATTTTATGTGCCTCATAGAAGAAGAGATCAACTTAATTATCCACTAGATAAGATATCAGTAGAGCATAGGAGAGATTTTATATTTATAAGTTTAATATAATTGTTGTTAAGACAACTTACGAGGCAAAACAATCATATATGTAATAATATAATATTTATGCATGCAAATGAAGATCAACTAGATCATTTTTAAAAGGATATATTCAACAACTAGATAATTGTTATAAAAATGTAAGAGCTGCTTTGCGCTTGAACACAATTTAATTTAGAAATAGCATATCTTTCTATTTCTTTCCAACATTTTAAGGACTAGGTATACATTTTGCTCAGCTCCCAATATATAATAAAATATAAACAAAGCACAAGTTTTGTAAGTCGTTAATACTATTAACAACAATTGAATTCAGTGTCTATTAGAACCAAAAATAATTTTAAAAAACTAAATAGAACCAAAGAGAATATAAAAATCTGTACTTCGGTTAAATATCTTTTATAACCAAAAAAAAAAAAATATTGTTATATTGTTATAACCAAAAACAATATAAAAAGCTGCCCAATATTTGTACAATAAATGCATCAATTTGCGAACCGCTCAAATTTGTGAAAACCCAATATGTCAATACCAAATATGCAAAACCTATTCATGTACTATATTTAAAATGTTATAGGTTTGTCGAATATTCTGTATTTAAATATTTGAGCTAAAATGTGTTGTAATTGAAATTGTTCTACAACATTTTAAGCTACAACATCACAAATCAAGTTTTTTATATTTTCAAACCATTCCAAACACATAAATAAAAATTATCCTTAAGTGGTGAAATGTTTTTACTTAATATTTAATCCCTACTTTAGACTCTAAATAAAATATGTATAACAGCCAAAACGCAGTGAAAAACTATATAGAACAGCCTATTGCCACTAAAAATGTTGCAAGCATTTGTAAGAAGAAGAAGAATTATAGAGAAATGAACATTTTTTGTAAACCAATAAATTATTTAGCATGTATAAATCACAGGGGGCAGGCGAAAGGCCGCACGAAACTTGCGCTGAAAACATGTTAAAGCCATTCAAAGATTTATTTCGAGATGCTGCCCAAGAGGCTGAAGCGCGTGAAGAGCCCGAGAGATGCCAAGGAGCAGGAGTCAGACTGGAGCGGAACTGAAAGGGCTGCACAGGCAGAGAAAGAGAGAGAGAGAGAGATGGAGAGAAAGCAATAAAGCATGAAAGAAAGAAATGAGTAGGCAAAGTTTCGTGGCTGTTAACGCTTTTTATTTTAATTTTCACTCGTTACAGAAGATTTCCAAGCGCAATGACGACTGCCGAGTGCCAGTTGCCAGTCGGACTGAATATGTGTCAGGCCAGGGCTGAGCTGAGCTGAACGGAGGGAAGCAGCAGGTACCTCTAGCAGTTCCACCCTACCCCCAATCACCACCAGCACCACACACACAACACATCCGCCACTTGGCTGCCCAGACAACTTAAGCGAAACTTTGCCAGCGAGCGAGCGGCGTCTCGCGGAATCACTTAAATTTGTATACTCTGTACGCAACTAAAATGTGCACAAAAAGGGTATAACACAGTTGTCTAAGCTCTGCTATTTACGCTTTTCCAATTGGAGAGTCTATTTTGGAGTTACAATCAAATTCTGTATTAATTTATCGTTTTATTTAAATTTCTCATGTTTTGCAATCTATTTTCCTCAGTCGGCAGAAATGACAATTTTTAGAAATTTGAATTATTTAGAAATAAGAATCTGTATTTTTATGAAATACATTTAAAATATTTGAAAATATCAGACTATATAAAGTTACGATTAGTCGCAAATAAAATTATTTCTGGAACCGGGATGGTTTTTATAATAATAATAAAATTAAATTCGATTATTAAATTTATCTAAATTACATTTTTATAATTTATTTAAAAAATAGAATCTGTATATTTATGAAATATGCAATAATTATATTTCCAAAAAATTTGGATATAGCAGACTATAAAAAAATTCATTTTTTCTCAAATTAGAATCCATTTTGGTTTGAAAAAGTGTTTTTCTAATTAAAGCCAAAATAAATAGAAAATACAATTTATTTTGATTACTAAATGTAATTAATAATTATATTATTATTAATTTGAAGTTACAAAATTTTGCTAAACTAAAACTTTTGTTTTAGCCCAATTTTTATTCCTATGAGCTGCAAGTTTGAGCTATAAACTCTTCAGTTTTTGTGCAAACTATTTTCCACAGCGCTTTATATTCGTTTCATTAAGTCGAGAAGCTTCTAAGGACACTTCGGACCATGTTACAGGATATCACCTAGTCGCGCAGGCTAACACTTTGTTGTTAGAACCGTCTGTTGGGCAGCCTGTACTGCTGGGGCTGCTGGGGCTGCTGTTAGGGCTGCTGCTCTTTGATTTCGTGGCAGCTTTTAAGTGTTTAACTTCAGCAAATGCCGCCGAGCAACGAAATAGCGCACACAACGCACA